TTTTAAAAATTGTAATATTGATGAAACATGCTGTACAGATAATCAACAATATGCATCATATTGAACAATAATATTTGAACAACAAACATGCATCAGAAAAAACTCTATTTAGAGAACAATAACATCTAAATTTTTCTTTAAGGGTTTTTTGCATAGATTGTGCTATTTGATTTTGGAAAAATTATCCATTTTTTAGCAAAAAACTCTTAGTGTATATAAAACTTACAATTATTTTTAGTCCGAGAAAAAAAAAAGCTTTGCAACTCCTGCGGTTCATCACAAACATAACATAGCAAGCTATCAGAGAGAAAAAAAATAAGTTTCAACAGAACGAAACAAATAAATACACGAACAATAAAAACTGAAACAAAAAAGCCTCCACCAAAATTTTTTAAAGTTTATTAACGATTGCATTTCAATTTTAAAAAGCATCTTTTCAATTTCAAATAGGAGCGTAGAGAGCATGCGTCTTTCAACTTAGAAAGAAGCCTGCTCAGCAGGAAACAAAATTTTTGTCACAAATGTATGCGCCAGAAAGCTTCGAACCTTGAGTTTTTCCATTGCCTCAACCCGAGGACAAACGCATAAAAGTCTATCTTTAACCTACAAATGACAAAATATAAAGCGCTTTTGCCGACAACGCATTGGCTGCAACTTTTATTACAGAAGCGAAGCTACGCTCTCGATCTGCAAACTAAATAAAATGAGTCTCACACACTAACCACTCAGCAACGGACGCTTACAAAATCACAAACACTAGCCGCATATAACGCAGGGAACCGATGCTATGAAATCTCCAGCGCAAAATACCGTGATTAATAGCAAAAATGCCATCAAATAAGTGTACACTTTTATTTAATACTTTAAATTGCAAGTTAGCTTAGAAAACAAAGAAGGTTTGTATAAATACACTAACGCTCGCAAGCTCGCGAGTGTAAAGACAAGCAAACGTTTTAAGCGACCAAAAAATTTAACTGGATGTTACAAAAAATTTGATCCATTTAATTTAGAAGTTACGGAAAGAACTTGAATCGACTTACTTTTTTTTTGCAAAAACAACTTGACTCTGAAGGAAAATTCTTCTGTGCAAAAAAAGCCAAAAAAAACTAGGCTGCAACATAATAGACCGACAAACAAATTTAAACGAAACTTCAAAAAGATCTAACAATGCCAGCACAACTTGATCTGAATAAGTATATATATATCATCAAAAAAATTCAAGAATTCAAAACCAAACATTCAAATACCTTCATCAAAACACACAGATACAAATTAACTCTTTTTCAATTATCGCAGGATTATAAAGCCTAAGCCGATATTACATACGCCAAAAAATAGAAGAAGAAAACTAAAACATAGAAAAAAACAGCAAATATCATATGAAAGTTAAAAACAAATTTCGAATATCGATCATTTAAAATGCAGACTTGCTCGAACTAGGTTCGTTTGGGACAAAAGTGGAAAATGCAGACTCAAAGAATTGATGAGAAATTGAATCGTTTAATATGCCACACAAGTTTTTGAACCGAAAAAACCCGCGTCAAGAACTTGTTGACCCAATCTATATTCCTCACGAGTAATCATGTTTAAACTGCGTAAACTCAAGACAATTTTGAATAAGTTTTTGATAAAATCAACCTGAGTTGCGTTTTTTCTTCCAAAAACACATCACCTTGTGAAACCGGAAGTCGGCAGAAAAGTTTTGCGCTATCTTTACTTTTGTTAATGATAATCTTTATTGAGCTCCAAACAATCATCAAACTGCCAAAATTTGTTAGTATTTCAGCCGAAAAACTTAGTCAACCAATGAGCAGAAAACAACAATAATGTCGCAAATTAATGCGCTAGAAAGCTTTGAACATCAAAGGCTTTTAAATCGCCTCGAAGTCAAACCTATAAAAATCAATAGCACCCTACAAATGACAAAATATAAGACATCTTCATCAGAAAAGTATCGGCTGCAACTATTTATCCAGATGCGAAGCTGCGCTTTGCAAACACTAGCAAGAAAACAACAAAAAACAGTTTTATAAAAATTAATAAGAAAATTAAAAAAAAAAAACCTCGAATTATTAAATGTTTGCTATGTGTTGGCTACGAACCTGCAACCAGAAAATCGGAGTCTCACTCCCTGGCCTCTTGGCCAAGATCGCTTAACAATCGGCATACACTAATCACAAAAAAAAGTTTCATTTTGTAAGCCCTTGCTAGAACACCACAAAAAGCAGCTTTATAAAGGTTTATAATAAAAATTAGAAAAAAAAATCGGCTACCTCTGAGATTCGATTCTGCGACCTAGAAATTAAGTCCCACAAAATAACCACTCAGCAATAGACGCGCCAAAAACCTATGCTCAGTCACAGACGCACCGAAGCAGCCACAAACAAAGCAGAGAACAGATGCTATGTAATTTCCAATGCTACAATGAAATTGCCATACAAGTGAACACTTTTACTGAACACTTTTATTTGCGAGTTAGGTTTGAAACAAAAGAAGGTTCCTAATAATACACTAAGCTGATCGCAAAGGTAAAAATGGATCAACTGTGCCAACTTATTAGTATTCGAATGTCAAAACTCATGATATCAAAAAGCCGTAAAGGTGCCACCAAAAATGGCAACATTATTTGCGATTTAGGTTAGAAGAGAAAAGAATTGCCGTACTATAATACTAATGCTCATAAAAATTCACTAGTGTAAAAGCGTATGAACTTTTTTTTGCTGCTCTGTATTTTTGATCCTAAATTCTGAAGCATATTGTTGCGTAGTTTCAAATAAGGGCGGAAAGCAGAAAAAAGTTTTTTTTCGCGTCTGAAAACTATTGAAACTTTGCGATCAAAATCAGAATGTTTAAACCTGTGGTTATTTTGTCTGAGTTTGAAAATGGCCAAAATGACTCATTTGGGACAATTAACGCTCGATAAGTTTTGTTTGTTTAAATCCTTAGCGGTGATTTATTCAAACTCCAAAACCGGTCAAAATGAAATTCAGGCACGCTATTTGAACTTGTCAATACGGTGCTAGACGCTAATTGCATCACTTCACATTGTAAATAGCTCCAAGCCAACAAAAAGGCCTCCAAAGAACATATTTTGTTCAATTCGAAATCCAGCTGCAATTCTTGTATAGCTTCTATCACTATCAAAAAAATTAGTAAAATTGTTATGTATTGTTTTTTTTGCCGATGTTTAGTCTTTCCAGGCAATAAACCCCATTTAAAATGATAAACTGAGGCTACAAGAATATTTAATTCACATGCAGTGATTTGAAACACATTGAGTTTTTAAAATCTGTCTAAAAGAATTTGTCAAAATCATTACTGAAAAAAAAATACAATAAATGTAGATCAGTATTACTCAGGCATTGAATTAGTATCTATTTCATTCTCGTAAAGCGAGAAACAAACATGACCATCAACCAGGGGATGGTTGTCATTGAACCCAAGAAAACCGGGAAAAAAACGAAAAATTTTTAACGACCTGGTTTTAGAGAAAAATTATTGCCTTAAATCAATTTGAAGATAGTATTTTTTTTTAGAAAACTTACCCTATTGAGAAAAATTAGTTTGTAGGATATTCTTTTATTCCGCTAAAAACTCCGTTTCCGAAATTTTGAAACGGAAAGACATCGATGTTTTTTACGTTCTTCGATTTTTTGCTGAGCCCGATAAGCCCTTCAGAAAATAAATTTGAACAGCACTTAAAAAGAAAAGTTAGGTCAACCCGGTCAAGTAAAATGTTTGTTTTTATCTTTTTGCGCTAAACCGAGAATCTCTGCTTAGCGAAACAGTAAAATATCACTGGCTTTCTACAGAACAACTTGGGGTCCTCATGCTGTGTATGGCAACGTTTCAAAAACAAGAAGAGCCGTAATAAATTATAATTGACTGGCTGAAGTTGTCAACATTTCAACTTGTATTTTCAATAGTTGCAGAGAAAACGATAAATATAACATCATATGCTGGGCAAAAACGCCAAAACAGTAGATTGAAAGATTCAAAGAACGAAAATATATCAAATTACAGCTTTTTGAATTTCTAAAACTGTACATGAGCGGCATTTAAAAAAAATATCCAACGTATAAAAAACTGGATCATTACTTAACTTTTTAATCCGTCAAGAATTCAGAAAATTTAAGTCCGTTTTCGAAACTATTAAACTGACAATCACTTTTTATTTTATTCCGGTTAGTTCTGGAAAAACAAAATTTACATAAAACTCAAGGACTGCTTATAAAACTTCCATATCAATTTTTCCTATAGAAACAGTCTCTGTTCGATCAAGCTAAGAACACCAATTAATTTGCAATAACTTGCGGAGCTTCCCATCATTTGTGATAAAACGCAAGAGAAGCATTGATAGCTAGCGAATAGAAATTGAGACGGAAAAAACAAAACCGATTTTTTGGAAAAAACTGTCTAACACACCCAATAATAAATAGGCTTCTACTATTTACCGAACAACACCTAAGCAGACATCAGGTGGGTAGAAGCCATTGAGCCGGAAAAAAAAGATGTAAGAAGTTAGAGCAAATTTCGTTCTTACAACAAAAACAACCTGAAATTTTCAAAAAACAACTATCATTTCTTGCTTTTTAATAGCAATAAAGTAGGGTAACTAAGCCAATAGTAAGCCGAAACTATTTAGGCCGAACAAAGCTTTTAGGTAAAAATAAGAAAACAAGGAAAATAAACAACGAAGGGGTATTAAATTTACATAATACAAAAGTAAACCAAAAACACTTGCATCTACGATGAAAGTTGCTGACATTACCTCTAGACCAATTGGACAAAAATCTCGAAGTTGCTAGTGCTGAAAACAATGCAACTTCACAATATCTTAGTGTTGCGTAAGAAATGTTGTTTACAGGAAAAAGTCTAGATCCCGATTACAAGAAACTTGCTAAGGTAGATAAGCAAACCAAGTATCTCAAATAAGTGTCTTAGTTCGCAACGCTAGAAAAATCTAACCTTTACCTCAATTTTTTCATAGCTGAAAACACTAAATTCCAAATATATAATTTCTGAGTTCAAGTAAAAAAAATTAATTCTGTAAACCATTAACTCGAACCATCATCACTTTCAATGTCAACAAAACAAGTATTGATGAAATGTTTGGCAAGTTTAGCTATTTCTGTTAAAGAGCAATCAGACACCTCTTTTAGACATCTGTACATCTCGTCCATGTCTATTGATGTGTCCATGAAGAATTCCTAAAACATATGTTCAATAAATGAAAAGCTTTATGTTTAACATATTTTTGACATAATCCAGTGGAGAAAACCGAATCTGTTTTTTGAAGTAAAGACAGAATCCACATAAAGTTAGAAAAATCCATTCAAGGAAACCAAAAAACTTTTGATCTTTGAAAAAATATACATATCAACTTGGTGCTCTTAAAAGATGAACAACTATCTGCTGGGCTATCTAAACAGCCAACAGACAGTTGGAGAATAGTTAATGAATGCAATTAAACAGTAAAAAACTGACTTGTTTTTTGAAAAAATACGAAACTTTAGAAATTAAAAAAACAGATGACCATGAAGCTCTTTGAATTTCTAAAATAATTTTGTGATTGACACCTTTCTGATAGGAAATAGGTAAATTTTATATTCCGCTGGGAAATCTGAAAATTAAATTATACTTTTGACACAAGAAGTTGATCATGTTTTTTGTGGCCTCTACACTTTTGCTGTTCGATAGTGGAGTTAGCCTTCTTTTTAACGCGTAAAAAGAACAAGAACTTAGGAACAAAAAATCATAAAGCGAAAAAGTGACTGACCCAGAACAAATTATAAAACTTTTCTTTAAAAAAATAATCAGCACTTACAAAAGAAATTGAACTACGCTCATCGACTCTTACAAATTACAATTCACTTTCAAACCTACAACTCAATCCCGTTTTTGGTACTTTCACGCAATTTGTACTTTCGTCATTGGCGAGTTTAGCAAAAAAATTCGTATTGAAATTCAAAAGAAGTTTAAAACCAAAAAGCCAAAAGTTAACTTAAGAGAACTTATTTCAAATCTAACATAAAACTAATTCAATGAGAATGAAATAAAAAACGCATCCAAAAGTAAGCCAAAACACTGCTCATATGATGTAGGCCTTGAAAAATTATACTGCCACTTAACGTCTATGTTTTAAAAAAAAATCAACAAAAAACTTTCACAAAAAATGACAATTTTTAAATACTTTTTTCTTAATTTTTTTTGGAAATCTTCCCAACACTAAGCAAAGTCCGAAAGATTTATTAAACGGCATTAAGTTAACAAAATTAATGCAGAAACAATTTCTCGGCGAAAATAAATAGTCGCTTGCGCATTATATGGCGTTTAAATTATCCCAAATTGGCCAACGCAGGTGAATTTGAGCTTGATACATCAGAACTTTTCGGATGATTTTTAAAAATTCACGACGAAAATGATTAGTTGGAAAAATGAAATTATTCTGACGAAAAAAAAACATCCGAGCACTAAGACTACGTTACTTTCTTCGAAACTCGAATTCATTACATAAGCATAGCCAACAGACCGTTTAAAACATAAATGGAACCAAAAAAAAATTTATTCAGAAGTTATGAATATTTTTCAAATATCGAAATTAGAAGAACAATTAAATCTCGATGAAGCTCATTGAATTTCAAATACCCTATGACTGGAACTTGTTTCATTGCGTTTTCCCATTTAGACAAAACAGGATCAATAGGTAATGTTTTATTCCGCCGAGAATTCAGAAAATTAAAGTCAACTATTGAGATTGCCTTCACAAACGAAATTAGGTGGACTTAAAAAACCGCGAAAAACCAAAACATAACGTGAACAAATTTTAAGACTTTTTTCTAAAAACCAAACAAACAATCAAACAAAAAATCATCAAGACCTATTTAAATGGACAAAATTTTGTTCTTTACTTAAAAACTCAACAGAAAAACAGTCAATATATTGACGAGGTCGCGAGATGAGTTTTGAAGCATTTCTGCGTCACATGCACGCTTTCGGAAAAAAATCTGACAAAAGTGCACCTTATGCGAGGTTTTCAGCAAACAATAATGAGTTTTTTGGCACGTCTCACCTCAAAATAACAGCTATCGGTACCAAATCCCTTTATGGAGAAAAATTGCAGTTGTTGCTCTAACGATCGTGAAATGTCCCCAGGGACAATTTAGGTGACTATAACGCTTACTCTCAGAACTAGAAGAGTCAACACTGCCCCAACCAGCGATGGTTTCAAAAGAACGCATCCTAGTCGCTTTTGGTTCCTTTTACTTTCACTTGCCAGTGTCTCCAAGTTGCTCATGTACAAATCACACAGCTGTTCCAAATATCTAAACAACGAAGTAAATGAAACTCACCTATAGACTATATAGACTATTCTAATCAATTGCTACAGGTTACCGGTTACAGTGCAAGTAGCAAAGAATGTTCCGACCACATTTAAAAAACTAAATACAAAAGTTTTTTTTTCCAAATTAGTGTCACTTATATACGAGGAACAATGAGACATATATAAGAACGCTTAGAATTTTATTATATTGGACACAATCGACGCAGTTTTCTTTGATAAATGAATATAACACAGGTGAAAAAAATCAGAAATTTTTCATTGCCAAGGAAGCATAAATGAAGCTTGCAAAACTAGTTTTCCCGAAGAAAAAATAATTTTTTTTCGCAACTTGAACAAAAATTATTGTCTAATTTTGAGCGAGAAAAGCACTACTAGCTCTCTGTATTCGCTGGAAATTAGACTAAATTACAAGAATTTAAAACCGGCTTTTCTCGACACAGAAAAGTCAAACAATTTAAGATATCAATTTTCCCAAGGAGATAACATGTCTCGTACAAAAAATTAAGGGGCCGCCGCTTCTGCAGGAACCATTGTCGCAACCGGCTCTTTCAGTTGAATTTTTCATCTCAGATCATTGGCACGGTAACTTTTGCGTGAAGCTTGCAAAAAACGGTCACAGGTAATAGGTTCAATTTGTTTGAAAGCCATTATTTTTTTCTTAAACGAAGTGGGCATAGCCAGTAGGGCATTGAGCCGATACAAAACAGGCTGAAATAATTTGGGCCGAGGAATTTTTTTTGAAGCTGCGCAACAAAAACAAAGAAGGGATTACGAAGTCAAGTCAACTAAAAGTACAACCTTTAGGTGTAAATCAAACCTAAACGCAACATCAAAAAAAATGCGCGCAGCAAAAAAATGCGTTTTCAAGACGTGACAACTAAGCCGACACAGATAAGCAGACAAATAATTGGCCGACAATTTTATTTGAAACAGAATATATCCCATTTGAAAAAAAATCAAGTCCTGGTCAGAGCCGAACCCAAGACCTTTTCCGTTCCAGGCATATTCGTTGCCACCAGGCCAAGTTGGCCGGGAACGCATAGAAGTTTGAATTCAATAAACCAAGATACAAGTGATTCTGTTAAACAAGTTGTTAACCCGAAAAAAGTGTATATTACAGTTAGATAACGCTTGCTAACCGCACATTGACAAAACTCTTTTCTATTAGATTAGACTCAATTAGGCCGACCCACTTAAACCGAAATTAGTTTAACCAATTTTTCAATGATCATGTTCTTTCGTGAAAGAGGACAAAACTGCAAATCTAGCATTTTGAAATAATTGGGACATTAAACTACATAAATCTGCCCACTGTTCACAAAGACGCAACGCAGACTTCACGAGGTCACACCTATGAACAAAACTACCAATCTTTGAAAAAATCCTAGAACCCAGTTACACCTCTTACAGCTTGAACACAGGCCTCCAGGTTAAGAATAACTGTCTTCGCCACCGTATAGAGTAGCCTTGAAAAAACCGTGATAATAATAACATAGTAGTACACAGAGACGAAGCGTAGCTTCGCGCCACTAGCAGTACAACACAATTATTTAAAAAAAAACAAGTCGAAAAAAAATGAAAAATGTTGAAAAAATTAGGTGAACCAAAATTTTCATATGTCTTGATGAAGGACATATAGGGCTCAGCTTAAATTAGAGGAACGTGTTTGACATTTTTTGAATTCGTTGATCTGATGCGGGACGAAATGCATCATTTCAAAAATTGGACTTTGCACAAACCCTTGGTTGTTTCTCTAAAGTGAGAAAGAAAATTTTTGAGATTTTGGAATTTTTTAGAAGACATAAAATTTCTCATACAAAAGCCGAGTCGAGTATGCAAAGGAGCTTCCTATGCCCCATTTTTTTAAACTGAACCTAAAATCATAGATACGAGAGGGTATTTAAATTTCTTGAAATATAGAAAAAAAACGCTTAACAAATCAGAAAAGTGATTTTGCGATGACGATAACCTTTTCCCATTATCCATTATCTCCATTGAAGCCATAAACTCAGATTTGAGTGGTAAGTTTCCGAGAAAATTTAAAAGATAAAAACTGTCAGAAAAATCAAAAATTTGACTATTACGAGGGCCGTATTTTTATCTGTAAAAACGTTTGAGCATAACCGCTTATGATGTGGAGCTCTCTAAATCCGTTCTATTCATTTAAATCAAAATCTCAGTTTTGTTAAGTTAGTTTAAGAAAATGAAAAAAAATTAAAAGCATCGGTCAAATATTCCGCCCACGGACTTTTTCGAAGGCTGTGGACAAAAGGGTAAAGCAGAAAGAGACCAGGGGAGTATGCAGGCACATAACGCAGTAGGCGGTCTTTCTATAAAGACAACTTTTTTGAAAATCGGTAGAAGGATTTTTGAAACTATACTTTTTGCAAAAAGTTCTCCAAAAAATTTTCCAAATCCTTTCAAAAAATTACAATGACAAAACTCAAACACATACACTTTCATAATATCTTTTTTTATCAAACAGGAATTCTAGACAAACATGCCAAGCAAGACATTTGAAATTCAAATTAGCAACTGAACAAAACTTACGAAGTGGAAACAAGGCAGACAATCTTTGAACAGACACCAGTTGAACCGAAAAAAAAACTGATTTCGTAAAAACACTTTTAAAAATTTGAAGTCCCCCTGAAAATACCCTATAGTAGCTAGTACCCACCCAAAAGTTAAATTTGAATTTTCAAGAAATTGAGCATGTCATCTGGAGAGCATGTCAATAAACAGCATTGTTCTTGTTGCCCCATTTGCGTTGCCAACAACAGCATTGTTCCGTCCTCGATAAAATTGTATCACTGGGTAAATTTTTCGGCTACCACGTGAAAGCATCCAAATGCCAACTCATTGTCAAGGATGAAAAACTCGGTGAAGCTCAGAAAATCTTCGCAAACGCAGGAATCACTACAAAGGCAGGAGCCCGAGTGCTTGGTTGTTATAGGAACAGAATCTGATGTAAAAAGTTCCTCGAATTTCAACAGAATGAGCAAATCAAAATTTTGAAAAAACTAACGAAAATCGCTAAAACCTCCCCTCGAAAAACGTTTATGCCTGCTATATTAAGGGAGTTCAAGAAAAGCTTTCATTTCTTGCCAGGACAACGCCTAACACTATGGAAAACTTAGAAATATGTGAAAATATTATCAAAGAACAATTATTACCTAACCTAGTCGGTAAAGACACTTTAAACCCCCAGTTCCGTGAGATATCTTCCTTACCCCTTAAAATGGGCGGACTTAACATCAAGCTGCCATCCGATCATGAAAGCTACCTAGAATGGTCTAGGGAAACATCAATAGTACTGGAATCTCAAGACCCTATTACAGCAGTAACACAGCAAGAAAAAATATGTACGAAAATCAAAAAATTGAAAACTGATAGAACGAATCGAAAAAAAAACAAACCTCATTAACTCCTTAAATGAAACAGATAAATACGCAATCGACCTGGCCTCTGAAAAGGGAGCCTCTAACTGGCTCAATGCTGTACCACTGAGCAGATACAACTTCAACCTGAATAAATCAGAGTTCAGAGATGGTATTTACTTAAGATACGGATGGGAACCAACCAAAACCCCACTCACATGTGCATGTGGTGCTGATTTTAACTTGACACATGCGCTTCACTGTGCAAAGGGTGGTTACACACACATAAGACACAATGAAATTAGAGACACATTCGCCAACCTCATGAACGAGGTTTGCCATGACGTCGAGATTGAGCCGAAACTTCAGCCGTTGCAAGGCGAAAGCTTTGTCAACAATTCAACTACAACTGAAGATGAGGCACGACTTGACATTAAGGCAAACGGACTCTGGGGTTCACGATTTAGCCGCGCTTTCTTTGATGTGAAAATTTTCAACCCCCACGCCAAAACATCGCGAAAACTGCATAAGGATGCATACAAATACCACGAAACGCTGAAGAACTCCAAATATCAGCAAAGAATTTTAAACGTAGAGCAGAGTAGCTTCTGTCCGCTAATTTTTGGATGCACCGGTGGCGCTGCTCCAATAGCCACACGGACGATGCAGCGATTGGCCGAAAAACTAAGTGAAAAAAGACAAGAAAGCTACCCAGAATCTATAAACTACATAAGAACTAAAATAAGCTTCGCGCTCCTGAGGAGCTCTATACTTTGTATAAGGGGGTGCAGATCGCTACGCAAAGTTCAATTTATCGACAACTCCATAAGCGCTATTGTAGAGGAAGGACGGCTAAGATAAATTAACATTACGACGATGCATTTAATGCTGATTTATGACTTCATTGCTGATATATATGCATTTTTATATCGCTGGTATGGCCCTATCCAGCTTGTGCACTTACCGTAACTAAACGGAAGGGCCCCTTTTGTAATTGTTCTTGTTGCTGTTTTTAGCCCGTTAACAAAGAGCATTGAGCATGTCGAGTGATTCAACCAATTTTCTTCAACTAGTTGCTAGCCCGATAAAAGTATACATTCCGATTTGATAACGCTTGCTAATCGTAAGAGTAAACAAGAATAGCTGGTTGCTGTGCAAGTGGCACGAAATTTTCTGAACCATAGTTATCTTTGCAAAAATAAATGTATTTTTTGAATTTGGAGGGGGTGAGATGGGGAGATGAGAGGAGGCGCTATAAAAAAAACCCGGTCATAAAATGACAAAAGGGAAATCGGCCTGAAAATCAAAATTAGTCTGAAAACTAATTTTCAGGCCAATGTTGCTCTAAATCAGTTGGAACAGCCAAAAATGCCGACCAGTTTTTCTTGACAGTCCGACTAATTTTTTGAAATATTTTGGAAATCCGAATCACAACCAATAGGGTTTGGCTTCATATTTAACTACAATTAATTGTTTACAAGCTTACGTTCAGGTAATCGAAATTCGTCGAAAAAAAAACACTAAGCCATAATTCCTTCGTGAAGTGGTTGGTCGGACCAAAAAATACGGGCAGCGTGACGCACGTTAATTACGCGGATATAAGATTTGCTTTTAAAATCCTGAAAATTGCCCTCCGATACTACATACGGAAATTTGAGATTTGGAAAAAGTTATCTCGTATAGAACATTCTTGGCTCTGTTAAAAGGAAAATTTCACGACTCACTGAAAAAGATAACATTCGACATAAAATAGCAAAAAATCTTTACGCCCTTGTGTTAATTATTCATGCAATCTTTACACTAGCTTCACACAGTTTAAATTTTGCTGCATCACACTTATTCATGATGTGAATAATCTTTCACGTGATTTACTGAAAAATGCGGTAAATTCCAATCATAATTAATAAGTTATTGGAGTGTAAAGATACAATTTTTGGATGATATAACAATTGACAAGTAAACAAAGATAATTCAAGACATATGAACAAAGAGTCTTGAATAACAAAAAGAGCATCGAAGATTCTTCAGTATCTAATAGCATCTGTTCTGTTGTTTTAAAATGATTACTATATTTAACGATAATTTAAGGGCCAAATGCAATTATTACTTGCCTGAAATACGTCGCATAGTTTGTCTTCGTAGCAATTTTGTACTTCTTCAGTATTGCCAGAAGATACAATTCAGCGAAGTCCAAGCTGCAAGGGCGGTCGAGCTGTAAACATTCATTGATTGTTATCTTTGTTCTCTAATACAGATTTAGGATCAACTGCACCATCCCTCGCCCCATAAATACTCGATTTAAGGGGAGAAAATACGCATTTTTGTACAAGATAACTTTGAAGAGAATGTCATATAACCTAAATAAGAAATTTACTAATCGAAACGTAATTAAAACGTCGGTTTAAAAAAAATGCGTAGCCCATCAAGTTGAATGAAAAATTTCAAAATAATTACATTTCGCATGGTTTGAGTGAAACGCATAATTTATACAGAACTAACTTTCAGAATAATACATATTTAGGACACCAATAAATACCATTAAAAAAAAAGGACCGGAAATTACTTCACTTTACCCATTTATAAATCATCTTGACTAAACTGTATTCTCGCTTCTTGAGATAATCTTCATCAACTTTTTCCGAATCATCGCTAAGTCTTTTGATTATAGTAACTAGACTCTTTAGAGCATAACTTTCACTTTTGAACATTTTGAGGGCAAGCTGAGCAAGCAATATCAATACGACAATTTTGAAAAACGGTGGGTTCTCCTTTTTCCGTCTTCTTTTAGTAGATCTGCAACCTATTTGCAAAGATAACTGTCAGTTAATCTCAAACATGCGTTTCAGCAAACTTCAGATATTCATGTTGTGCCTATGATGGCTCTATAACCGGGAACAACAACTTGGGGTATCTTATTTTCAATATCGATGAAGGACAGTAGCTCAATGCAAAAAAAAATAAATTAACCCAAGCCTGATAAAAAATCTAAAACCAATTTATTTCACACAACCAAACGCTTCAAATTTCAATACCTGGTGTGTTAAGTTCGTTATCAAGATTATCCATCGATAGAACCCCTGAGAAGCTTAGTGAAAGGAACAGCTCCGCACTAAAACATCTTGCATGCGAATCCAAATCGTCGTGAATATGTTCATTCCACAAAGTAAAACTCGTAAGTTCAGCTAACGTGCTATCAACCATTATTTGAGGGTACAGAGAATCTACTTCGTGAAGCTGGCAAAAAATTTGAGGTAAAAAACGTTTCTGGATTAGCTTTGGATCGCCATATACGCGAGACATAAATTGACTGAAATTAAGCGGCACAGTGGAAATTTCGTTCTGTTGAATTGCGATTAGAAAATGAGAGAGAATTAACTTAAAAATAAATTTGGAAAAAAGGATCAAGGTACTACTATGATAGAGTGGTCCCTCGAAAAAGCAACTATGATAGACAGGTCCCGCATGCATTTCGCATGTTATAATTTTAAAACTAATTTGTGTATAAATTATTCATTTCAAAAATCTTGCAAAATATGTTCAGCCAGAAACTTTTCAGATTGAAAATTGTAATCACTATTGTTTATATTAAATATTCACTATTCACTAAATATTCACTATTGTTTTATTAAATAGTTTCAGGTTAAATGATTTGCGGGGTAGCCGTGGTGACCCCTTTTTCATGGTTGTGATTATTGGAGCGAGCTCATTGCATCTGGCACTTGAAGATTGGGCATCAGTAGGAGGAAACGAGGAACTGCAAGAAGACGTCATCCATTACAAGGGAGTAACGTTTCATCCCAAATCGAAATCGAATAAAATTTTTTTTATAAAAACACTAAATTTCAAAGTGTCCCTTCCGTTTAGTTACGGTAAGTGCACAAGCTGGATAGGGCCATACCAGCGACATAAAAATGCATATATATCAGCAATGAAGTCATAAATCAGCATAAAATGCATCGTCATAATGTTAATTTATCTTAGCCGTCCTTCCTCTACAATAGCGCTTATGGAGTTGTCGATAAATTGAACTTTGCGTAGCGATCTGCACCCCCTTATACAAAGTATAGAGCTCCTCAGGAGCGCGAAGCTTATTTTGGTTCTTATGTAGTTTTTAGATTCTGGATAGCTTTCTTGTCTTCTTTCACTTAGTTTTTCGGCCAATTGCTGCATCGTCCGCGTGGCTGTTGGAGCAGCGCCACTGGTGCATCCAAAAATTAGCGGGCAGAAGCTACTCTGCTCTACGTTTAAAATTCTTTGCTGATATTTGGAGTTCTTCAGCGTTTCGTGGTATTTGTATGCATCCTTATGCAGTTTTCGCGATGTTTTGGCATGGGGGTTGAAAATTTTCACATCAAAGAAAGCGCGGCTGAATCGTGAACCCCAGAGTCCGTTTCCTTAATGTCAAGTCGTGCCTCATCTTCAGTTGTAGTTGAATTGTTGACAAAGCTTTCGCCTTGCAACGGCTGAAGTTTCGGCTCAATCTCGACGTCATGGCAAACCTCGTTCATGAGGTTGGCGAATGTGTCTCTGATTTCATTGTGTCTTATGTGTGTGTAACCACCCTTTGCACAGTGAAGCGCATGTGTCAAGTTAAAATCACCACCACATGCACATGTGAGTGGGGTTTTGGTTGGTTCCCATCCGTATCTTAAGCAAATACCATCTCTGAACTCTGATTTATTCAGGTTGAAGTTGTATCTGCTCAGTGGTAGAGCATTGAGCCAGTTAGAGGCTCCCTTTTCAGAGGCCAGGTCGATTGCGTATTTATCTGTTTCATTTAAGGAGTTAATGAGGTTTGCTTTTTTTTGATTTGTTCTATCAGTTTTCAATTTTTTGATTTTTGAACATATTTTTTCTTGCTGTGTTACTGCTGTAATAGGATCTTGAGATTCCAGTACCAGTAATGTTTCCTTAGACCATTCTAGGTAGCTTTCATGATCGGATGGCAGCTTGATGTTAAGTCCGCCCAATTTACGGGGTAAGGAAGATATCTCACGGAACTGGGGGTTTAAAGTGTTTTTACCGACTAGGTTAGGTAATAATTGTTCTTTGATAATATTTTCACAAATTTCTAAGTTTTCCATGGTGTTAGGCGTTGTCCTGGCAAGAAATGAAAGCTTTTCTTGAACTCCTTTAGTATAGCAGGCATAAATGTTTTGAGGGGAGGTTTTAGCAATTTTCGTTAGTTTATTCAAAATTTTGAATTGCACATTCTTTTGAAATTCGAGGAACTTTTTACATTCAGATTCTGTTCCTATAACTGAACCAAGCACTCGGGCTCCTGCTTTTATAGTGATTCCTGTATTTGCCAAGATTTTCTGAGCTTCACCGATTTTTTCATCTTTGACAATTAGTTGGCATTTGGATGCTTTCACGTGGTAGCCAAAAAATTTACCCAGTGATACAATTTTGTCGAGGACGGTTCGTAGATTGCTTAATTTACCGACTGCGTTTCCGTCGTCTGCGTACCATTTCTGGGTTATATCGTCTACTGATAAAAGTTTTATGAGGGGTATTATGGCTAGAACGTACATGGCCATTGCTAGTGGATCCCCCTGGGTTGTCCCTTCTTGAGAGTAGATTGTTTTTTTTTGTTAACGAATAGTTTAGATGGATTGGAGTAGGAGTTCTTAATCGCTGTTAAAAGGGAAGGGCAGGTATTTTCGATGTTTTTTAATGCCAGCTTTCGGTTCAGCGAGTTGAAAGCGTTTTCGGCATCTATCAGTAAAACAGCATCGGCGGAAGTTTTGCTGTATTGATCTCTTAGCGTGTGGATCGCATATTCAATGCCACATTTTTGTCCTAGGCAGAGTTGGTAGTTTGAACCGAGCGTTTTTTAAGCATTTATTTATTGTTCGCCCCATTATCCTACGCATAAATTCTCCTATGCCTATGGGTCTTACCCCTGGATTCTTATCTAAGGGTATTAATCTGCATGTGTTATATGGTTCCATTAGTTCTGGATTTAGTTCTTCTGTGGCCAATTTTTTGGCAATTTTAGCAATTGATTTCGAAATTTCAACTGATTGTTGCCCGAAGTGTGTTAGAATACGTCTCCATTCATTCGCATCGAGGCCAGATGGTCCATGCGATCCGTGAGTTCTCATGGCTGCCTTCTTGATATGTTGATCGTTTATCTGATCAAATATCGATGGAAGGAAAGGAATTGTTTTGTTTGAGACTGGTGTAATATAGTTCTCATTAATTGGTTCAGATGGTGGGTGTTTCTCTACGAGAGTCTGTTCAACTGTCTTACCTTTGACAATCTCGTCGAGCGAAAGAACGCCTTTAGATGTGTCTGTTAGTTTTGCAATAGCGCTTGATATTTTTCCAGTATTCATTAGTTTGTTGAACTGTTGCGCTTCAGTTTCAGTTTTTCTTCTACTTCCTTTCAACAAGCGCATTTGCAGCGCCTTTCCTTCGTTATATAGTCCATCCAGGTCTCCATCTTGCCATTGCTTAAGTCGCTTTGCTATTGTCAATTTCGGACTTTTTTTTGCACAGTAATAAGTGTGGAAAAATCATTGCTGCGTGCATTGCGATGGTATTTTCGTTGTTTTCTATTAGGCTGTTCAAAGTTCTATTTGGGGTTTCAATGAAGTTATATCACGTTTATTTTTTGACAAGATCATAAAGACCGGTTTCCAGTGGACCACTTCGGTGTATATTTTCCTAGTGGTTTCTATGAGTTCTGGACAGGGGTTTGACCATGGGTCTTGTATTGTTTTGGGTTCTATAGTGGAAGATTCTCCTGAGTTTTGTGAGTGTGGGGCAGGTGAAGGGTGAGGGTGCATTTGGGGGGGCGATGTTGTAGCTAGGGTTGGGGGATTGCATTCATGCTTGTCGTTAGCTGAATGAAATTGGGAGGTGCAGCAATGACAACTGAAATCGTCATAGTGATCACTGCTGCGGGCTAGGCCGCTGCATTTTACATGCATGTAGCCTGGGCATGTGAAGCGTCAAACACCTCCGCCTCGCAGGCTGCTTTTACAAATAAGGCAGTGTGTTTGAGTAGCCATTTTAGGAAGGACGGCGGTGTCAAGTAAGCGAGAGAATTTATAGATTAAATTTGCTAGAAAATTTGTAAAGAAATCATTACCGTAGAACGAGAAATGGATGCCATCACGGCAGAACATTTGAGGGGTTAGATTTAGGTTGAGGTTAGGCGAAACAATAAGTGTATGGGGGTGTACAAATCTGTTTATCAAATTAAACAGCACATGATTATGAATATAAATTTTGCGGTTTGCTTTGGAATTTTTACAATTCTGAATTGTTTTGGGGATGATCAGTGTCTTGGGCTGAAACTTGTTAGTGAAGAGGTTAATCAAGTTTTTCCACTGCTGTTCTAATTCTTGTGGATGCAGCCTGTTGTCATTGTATCCAGCAACTATTGTTACTGTATTTAGGCGCTTTGGTCTGTATTGTAAAACTGTTTCAAACAGATCATGAAGCGTTGCGCCGCGGTAGGAGTGAATTGTTGATTTTACTAGAGCTGGTTTGATATATTTGGTCATTCAAGTCCCGATAACTAGTATCTGTGAGAACTCAGGGATGCGTCTTGCCTGGAATCGCGGCATCAACCTGAAACACAGACAACTGGGGCGAGAAAGGAAGCTCTTTGGGGTAATTTATGAATACTTTCACTTAGGGTTTAAAATTTCTGAGGCAAATGCGATGAAAAAAAAGAGAAAAAAAAAGAGAAAAAAAAAGAAAGGAGTGGTACAACCTGACGTAGATTTGGAGGTCGATTCACCAGCTCACTCCTTCTTGCGTCTAGTTACGCCAGGGAAACTTCACTCGCCTACGGCTCGGACGGCGAGATTTGGTAAGATAACCAGAAGAGGAAAGCCCAGCGCGCATATGATATGAAAACACACAAGCGGTAAATTTGAACAAAGAAATCTATTTAAAAAGTTTATCACAACAATTAGGCTAATCAATCGACTAAAATCAATCGAATAAAATCGTATCAATCGATTAAAATCGTACGAAACATCTTGAGAGACGAAATTAATAGAAACGAGTCTGTAATTATCTGGCACGACGTAATAAACAATTCGATTTCAAAACATCCATTCAATCCAAGGACTCCCCTTACTGCCAATCAACTAGTATCAGAAATCAAACCCCTAATTAACTCGCATCCTCGAATTGAAGGCCTTGTCTATTGTCAGAGAGACGGTTGCACCCTATATTCTTGAAGATCTAAAGAAACTTCCGATACCAGTTGTTCAAGTTACAACAGACATAATTTCGAATTCTAAACAAGAGGACAAAGATCTACTTGAAGGATACAGAGAACTGCATCAAGAAACCGCACTTGAAATGGAGCACGAAGGAAACGAGAACAGAAATAA